AAGATGGTCTTCCAGACAAGCAAAAGCTATAAGAGTTCAGCCTTACAAGAAATGTTAAAGGGACTTCCTTAAGCGGAAAAGAAAGGATGCTAACTAGTAACAAGAAAAAATGAAAGTATAATGTCATAAGAAAATGTTAATATATAGTAAAGATAGTAAGTTCATCTGAGATTAAAAGACAAGAGTAGTAAAAAATAGCTATAACAACAATAATTAGCTAAGGGATACGCAAGATGAAAAGATGTAAAATGTGACATGAAACACACAAAACATGGGTGAGGAAAAGTAAAAATGTAGACTGAGAATGCATTCAGACTTGTTATCAGCTTAAAATAGATTGTTATAAATATAAGTTGCTATATGTAAGTCTTGTGGTAACCAGAAAGCAAAAACCTATAGTAGACATAAAGAATGTGGAAGGAATGTAAGCATACCACTAAAGAAAGTCATCAAACCACAAAGAAAGAGGAAGAACAGAACAGAGAGGAACTACAAAACAGCCAGAAGACAGTTAATATAATGGCATTAAGTGCATACCTATCAATAATTACTTTAAATGTAAATGGACTAAATACTCCAGTCAAAAGACAGAGTGGCTGAATGGGTAAGAAAAACCCCCACAAGACCCATCTGTATGCTACCTACAGGAGACTTGCTTCAGATATAAGAACACGGAGACTGAAAGTGAAGGGATAGAAAAGATGTTCCAGGCAAATGGAACCCAAAAGAAAGCTGGGGTAGCTGTACTTATATCAGGCAAAATAGACTTTAAAACAAAGACTGTAATAGACAAAGAAGAAGAAAATTATAATGATGAGTCAATCCAATATGAGGATATAAACACTTGTTAATGTACATCCAGCATAGGAGCATCTAAATGTATAAAGCAAATATTAATAGACCTAAAAGGAGAGAGAGAGCAATACAATAGTGGTAGGGGACCTTAATACCCCACTGACATCAATGGGTAGATCATCCAGACAGAAAATCCATGAATAAACACCAACCTTAAATGACTAGACCAGATGGACTTTATAGACATATACACAACAGACATCCCATCCAAAAGCAACAGTACACATTCTTCTCAAGAGCATGTGGATCATTCTCTAGGAGAGATCATATGTTAGACCACAAAACAAGCCACAGTAAATTTAAGAAGATTGAAATCATAACATCTTTTCCAACCACAATGGTTGGAAAAGCAGTTACAAGAAGGAAACTGGAAAATTCACAGACATGGAGATTAAACAACGTGCTCCTGAACTCTACCAATGGGTCAAAGGAGAAATCAGAAGTACCTTGAGAAATAAAAAGTGCCTTGAGGCAAATGCAACTGGAAGTACAGCATGCCAAAACCTGTGGAGTGCAGCAGAAGCAGTTCTAAAGGGGAAGGTTCATAACGATAAATGCCTACCTCAGACAACAAAAAAAGTCTAAACAGCCCAACTTTACACCTCAAGGAACTACTAAAAGATGAACAAACAAAGCCCAAAGTTAGTAGAAGGAAGGAAGGAACAAAGATCAGGACAGAAAAAAAGAAAAGAAATAGAAACTAAAAAGAATAGAAAACGTCGTTGACACTACGGCTGGTTCTTTAAAAAGATAAAGTTGACAAATTTTTAAGGTTCACCAAGAAAAAGAGGACTAAAGTAAATAAAATCAGAAATGAAAGCGGACACATTACAACTGATACCACAGAAATACAAAGGATCATAAGAGCCTACTATGAACAATTAATATGCCAACAAAACTGGACAACCTAGAAGAAATGAATAAATTCCTAGAAACACACAACCTATAAACACTGAATCATGAAAAAATAGAAAATCTGAACAGAATAATGACTAGTAAGGAGACTGAATCAGCAATTAAATACCTTCCAACAAACAAAAGTCCAGGACCAGATGGTTTCATGGTGAATCTACCAAACATTCAAGAAGAATCAATACCAATTCTTCTCAAATTCTTTCACAAAATTGAAGAGGAGGAAACCCCTCCAAACTCATTTTACGATGCCATCATTACTCTGATACCAACACCAGGCAGGGCACTGCAAGAAAAGAATATTATAGGCCGATATCTTTAATGAACATAGATACAGAAATCCTGAACAAAATATTAGCAGACCAAATTCAACAATATCTTAAAAGGATTATACACCATGATCAAGTGGGATTTATTCCAGGGGTGCATCGATGGTTCAACATCCACAAACCCAATCAATGTGATACACCACACTAACAAAATAAAAAATAAAACTCCTATGATACCAATAGATACAGAAAAATCATTTGACAAAATTCAATATCCATTTATGATAAAAACTCTCAACAAAGTGTGTATAGAGGGAGTATACCTCAACATAATCAAGGCCATGTATGACAAGCCCACCCCACACATTATACTCAGTGGTGAAAAGCTGAAAGCTTTTCCTCTAAGATGAGGAACAACACAAGGATGCCCACTCTCACCACTTCTATTAAACATAGTATTGGAAGTCTGGCCAGAGCTATTAGGCAAGAAATAGAAATAAAAGTACCCAATGGAAAAGTAGAAGTAAAACTGTCACTATTTGCAGATGGCCTGACATATATACAACATATTAGAGACTCCACCAAAAATCTGTTAGAATTAATAAATGAATTCAGTAAAGTTGAAGAATACAAAATCAATGTACAAATACTGTTACATTTCTGTACACTAATAACAGACTATCAGAAAGAAAACTAAGAAAACAATCCTAGTTACAGTTGCATCAAAAAGAATAAAATACCTAGGAGTAAATTTAACCAACAAGGTGAAAGACCTGTGCACTGAAAACTGTAAGATACTGATGAAAGAAACTGAAGAAGCCACAGCTAAATGGAAAGGTATTCTGTGCTCATGGATTAGAAGAATTAACCTTGTTAAAATGTCCATACTGCCCAAAGCAATCCACAGATTCAATGAAATCCCTATCAAAAATCCAGTGGCATTTTTCACAGAACTGGAACAAGCACTCCTAAAATTTGTGTGGAACCACAAAAGACTCCGAATTGCCAAAGCAATCTTGAGAAAGAAGAACAAAGCTGGGGGTATCATGCTCCCTGATATCAAACTATACTAAAAGCTACAGTAATCAAAACAGCATGGTACTGGCAGAAAAACAGGCACATAATCGAATGTAACAGAATAGAGAGCCCAGAAATAAACCCATGCATATGTGGACAGTTAGTTTCACAAAGGAGCCAATAATATACAATGGGGAAAGAACAGTCTCTTCAGTAGATGGTGATGGGAAAACTGGACAACTGTCTTATACCATACACCCAAATGAACTCAAAATGGAGTCTGGATGCACATGTAAGACCTGAAACCATAAAACTCCCAGAAGAAAACATGGGCAGTAAACAAGAGAGACTACATCAACCTAAAAAGCTTCTGCACAGCAAACGAGATCAATGTAATGAAAAGGCAACTTACTGAAGGGGAGAAATATTTGCAAATCATATATCTGATAAGGAGTTAATATTCAAAATACATAAAGAACTTGTATAACTCGATAGCAAAAAACCAAATAATCTGACTAAAAAATGGGCAGAGGATCTGAATAGACATCTTTCCAAAGAAGACAGCAGATGACCAACAGTACCTGAAAAGATGCTCAGCATTAGTGATCATAAGGGAAGTGAAAATCAAAACCACAATGAAATATCACCTCACACCTATCAGAATGGCTGTTAAAAAAAAATATAAGAAATAACAAGTATGGGCAAGAATGTGGAGAAAAGGGAATCCTTGTGCACCGCTGGTGGGAATGTAAATTGGTGTAACCACTATGGAAAAAAGTGTGGAGGTTCCTCAAAAAGTTAAAAATAGAACTACCATATGATCCAGTAATTTTGCTTCTGGATTATTAGAAGAAAATGAAAACACTAATTTGAAAAGATATATGCACCCCGTGTTCATTGCCGCTTGTTTACAATAGCCAAGATACGGAAGCAACCCAGGTGTCCACCGAGAGACACACATATACAGGAATAGTATTTGGCCATAAAAAAGGAAACCTTGCCATTTATGACAACATGGATGGACCTTGAGGGTGTTATGCTAAGTGAAATAAGTCAGAGAAGGCCAAATACATACCGTATGATCTCATTTATATGTGGAATCTACCAAAACACACATACACACAAACCCCCCAGTTCACAGATACAGAGATTGGTGGTTGCCAGGGGCAGGGGCAGGGGTGGAGGGTGGGTGAAATGAGTGGAGGGGTTTAAAAGTACCCATTTACAGTCATGGGGATAAAATGTACAGTGTGGTGACTATAGTTAATAATACTGCATTGCATATTTGAGAGTCACTAATAGATTTTCAACATGTAATAGAATCTACAGCTATTGGCTGTTAAAGTGTGTATACATTTTTTTTGGACACCAAAAAAAAAAAAAAAAGAGAGATGTGGTTTATCCAAGGGATTGACAATCGAGTCTGAAACAATTCATTGCAGGTACAGTAGGAAGGTTGATAAGGTAGCCTTCTGTAGTCTCTGTTTATTTTCTAATAAGTTATGACTGAAATTATTTGATCTAAATTTGACTTTTTTATGAACTTTGATAGAAAATTGCTGTTTGAACCTTGATTTCATTAGGGAACCATTTTTATCAGAATCATTCAGACTAATTCTTTAATAACAGCAAACTCAACAACACCAACTGAAAAAACATAACACCGTTCGTCTGTCATTAATTGATCATTACCAGATGTCAGGCATGATGCCAGGCACTTTGTACACATTATTTTTTGACCTTACAGCAGTTCTTCACAGGAGGTGTTATTTTTAGATCTTCATTTTGAAGCTGAGAAAGGCTGACTTGTCCACAGTCACGTATAGCTAATAAAGCTGAGATACGACCCTAAGTTGTTCGGCGTCAAAGTTCCTTCCCTTTCCCACAGTGTACTGCCTCTATTAAAGGCTTCCTGTTGTAATGCTGCCAAAATCAATTTGGTTTCAGATTGTCTTCGCAGTTTTACCGACTTAGAAGAACTTGATGAGACGGAGTTATATATGTGCCACAAATGCAAAAAGAAACAAAAGTCCACTAAAAAGTTTTGGATTCAAAAACTACCCAAGGTAAGTGTCGAGTTTTAAATTATAATGCAATTCAAGGGACAGTGCTTATGCCTGATGAAAGGCAAATTGTTTTTGCAACTCTGTGTAATCTCTTCTGTATCGGTGTCTAGTGCTTTCAGTAACAACTAAATAAACCCTTTGACAGTACAGTGTCCTGATCACAGATTCCAGTGTGTGGAGGGGAGAGAGGTTCCCACCACACCACCAAAGCAGTTCCCCACACCACTGGGTGTCCTACATTCAACTCAGTTCTGACACTCTCTGGAAGTAACATCAGATCCCACAGGGTAAGGGCTCAGTCCTACAAGGCTGTCCTCCACTTCAGAGCCAATCATAAGCCCAGGTTTTTTCTTTAGGTTTCTGACCTACACATTGGAGGTTATCTTGACCCCCCTCTTTGCAGTTTAGATGCCTGTACTTCTGATAGGGATCTCTCCGGGGATGGAGGCTGGCAGGTACCATCTTTGAGCTCTACCTCTGCCACACTCTAGAGTGCCAGTGTCTTCCAAAGGGGAGCTTTTACGTGACTGGTGCCCTGGCTTTTGTGGCTGCTGCCACAGATTTCCAAGCGCCCTCCTTGGGTTGCATTAATTTGCTAGAGTAGCTCACAGAACTGAGGAAACCCGTTTACTCACTAGATTACTGATTTATTACCAAGGATATTAAAGGGTACAAGTCAACAACCAGATGAAGAAATTCATCGGGTGAGGTCCCAAACATAGGACCTTCTGTTCTTGTGGAGTTTGGGTGGCACATGAAAGCATGTGGTTCCCCAACCAGGAAGCTCTCCATATACCATCATTTTGGGTTTTTATGGAGGCTTCATTTCTTAGGCATGACTGATTAAATCACTGGCCACTGGTGACTGATGCAACTTCCGATCAGAGAGCTGGGGCCCTCATCCTAAGGGGAGGTCCACTGACCATCTCATTGACATAACAAAAGACATCTTGATCACTCTCTTCACTTAGGACATTCTCAGAGTTCTGGAGCTGTATGCCAGAAAAGGGAGCTAAGACCAAATATATATTTCATTATCACAAATCATAACATCACTATAATATATGTGTGGAAGAAAGCAATGTCAAGGATCAAAAGAAAAACTGATAAAATATTTGAGAGACAGTTAACCAAGTAGTTAATTTTGATTGAAAGGTAAGTTAGGTGTTTGTTTACAATCTTTGTCCTTATTTCTGGTCCAGGTGCTATGCTTACATTTGAAAAGATTTCATTGGACAGCATATTTAAGAAACAAAGTTGACACATATGTAGAGTTTCCACTGAGGGGCCTAGACATGAAATGCTACTTGCTAGAGGTAAGTAATACCTTCGTTAGCATGGTGAGAAGATGCCTCTGCAGTAAACTAAGTCTTCACAGACCCAGGGTGGAGGCCATTGAGGCGGGAGATACTGACGCCCTTGACCACTGCTCCTAACTGGATGCCTCTCCCTTGCTCCGCAGCCCGAGAACAGCGGCCCCGAGAGCTGCCTGTACGACCTGGCGGCGGTGGTGGTGCACCATGGGTCCGGGTGAGTGCGGCATGGGCGGGCCCGGCTGGGAATGTGCCACGCTTGACAGTTCCCCCACACTCCCTAAGAAATGGATTCAGGTGCACTAAAGTGGGTGGAGTAGAATTTTCCTTCAGTTTTGGTGTGAAGGATTCCTGCCAGAGTGTTGTGAAGTGTGAAGAGAAGGCACAAAAGCAAAATGGAGCGTGGTCATTTGAGCCCAGCATTCAGAACCCAGCCTGTTCACAAATCCTGAGCCTCCTTTACTCGTTACTTCCTTTGCCAATTGATGTTTAAATGGGGAGAATGGAAAATTAAAACTTACTTCATGTCCTGTACTGTAAAGATTCGTTTTTTACTTTGTTGAATAAGTGTTGATTCTTTCCCCCCGAAAGTCTGTAGTAGGGGCATCCACCTTCTGAGCGCTGGTCTGAGGACGGCTACTTTACCTTCACGCTCGGCTCCTATCACTTGGGCAAACTGCTGTCCATTTGGAAAATCCTTCTCCCTCAGAAGCTTTGTAGACATTACTCCGCTGACTTCACCAGTCATAGAATTAGGAACAGGCCCACTGTCTGACTCTTCACTTCTTTATAGGCAACCTGTTTTTTGTCTTTGGAAGGTCATAGGATCCTTTGTCTTTGAACTTAAGAAACAACATGAGATATTCCTGCTTGGTGGCTGATAGGGTCAGTTTTAGTATGGTGTCTTCCGCTAATGGAAATGTTTATTTTTTCCACCCCATTCTCCATTCTTTCCTCTGGAACACCTGACCTGTTAAATGTATAGTAAATTTCCAGAGTCTTCATATATTTTAGCTATGTTTTCCATTTCTTTGTTCCTGAAGAGGGCCATGGTGTGTTCCATCTGTATCCAAACTGAAGATTAGCTTCTCTGTGGATTTTTGTATTGCGGAGATCACATTTTTCTCATAACTTTTTCATAACAGCCTGTTCCTGTTTTATGGTTGCAGCATCTTCTCGAAACCATTGGTACTGATTAGAGTTTTTAAAGTTCTCTTTGGTTTTTGCTGTCATTGCCTCAGTGATTAATTAGCTTTTCCTGGCACTTCTCCTTTATGCTATTTTTCTCCCCTCAAGACTGATGATTTTTGGATGTTTACTCAGTCATAGTAAGTGATGAGACTGGTCATGTTGGCAGATGGTGAGAGTTTTTCTAACGGTTGTGCAGGTCCCTTTTATACCTGTAGGCTGTTCTGCC